TTTAAATTTAAAAGTTCCCAAATGCCAACTTCAATTTATTTATTTATCCTGTTATTAGTTCAAGTAGATATTTCTGTAAAGAGTAGTATGTGATTCTGCAATCTCTTTAAACGTGTCTCTTTATTTCGGTTATGTAAGCAAACGTTCCCAATCTGTCAATTTCGAAGGGTACGTGATGGAGTCCTGATGTCGAGGATACAACGCATAGTGACAAATGACACGAGCAGTGGGGCTGATGCTAGAAATTCTACAAGCGTGAGATTCTATCTGGAGATGACAGACAAGGTGTCGCGTCCCTTTTCTGAGGGCCCTCTCATTTTTCGCTCTCTGTAGGGGCCTGTCTAAAAACAGAAGAGAAAGCACAATCTGTAGAGCTTTAGGATAAGATAATTAACTGATATACCTCTGTAGCAGTTAGAATACAGGCAGCAGCTGTCGAAGAAAGTTAAGTATGATATAACAATCGGTGGTACATTACAAGTATAATGTGGATTCTGAGCATGAAAATGTTATAATAAATTAGTTTATAATATTTTATAAAAACAGATTCAACGGGCAAAAATATTTTTAAGTATTTACATGTAGGTTTTATATGTCAAGAATAAAACAGGAGTGATCAGAATTAGTATGAGTGTCTCAAAGAACTTGTGATGTTATGTGATTAATAGAACGTATTTCATTTTAGTACTATGTGTAAGATCAAAGGTAAGTAAGACTGCACTCTCCAAAACAGTTACACGCAATATCATCGACACACGCCCTCTACAGGAATACCAAACAGATAATGATGCTTCATTAATAATTAGATCCAGAGGTGTTGTTTACAGAGATGTGCAAATATGATTGAAGGACTAATGTATTTTTTTAAAGTTGTTACTTTTTTCAAGATGGACAAAATATATTGTGACCGTAAAGATTTTCCAGCCTAGACTTGCATTAGTAATTCGCGAAAAAACACTTTTTGTCTCCATTATCGTTATTTCGAAATAGCCGTGCTACAAAACATTTTCACGATAAACTCCCGATACACACCCACCAATCAATAGAAATTTCATATTGAGATACAACCATCTCTAATCCTCAATATGCATGTTTTGACATGGTTTTCCTTTGATGAAACTATCTCTTTATGGAGATAACCTACAAATAAAAATCCGATGTTTTTCTTTAGTATAATTAAATTATTCGTATATATTATATAGGTCATTATATTGCTTGGGAGTGTGAATCTTAGCTGTGTCTGGTCTTTGTAACAATCGAAACAACGAGCATTCATCCATACTAGTGCCTACGACATAACCACTGATGATAAAGTGCTGTTTTGGACAACAAGTCGCCAACATAATAATTTATTACACAGCAGAAGTCAGGCATGAATTATATGATTAGCACACGAAATACGATCACAGGGCAAACAAATGATATAAACCGTGTGGCTATAACGAGCTCGAGGAAATTTTTCCAATGACAGATATTTATATATTTTTTTGGATCTCCACCAAGAGGGCCACTTTATCTAAGTGTCTAGTGCTTACTGTGAGTTGATAATGGCTTTAAGGCTAAGTATTTATGGTCATGTTTCACATCGCACAGTTAATTAAGCTCTGATATATCCAAGCCCAACACATCAAATACTGTCAGATTATCAGGTGGGATTAAACTAAAAGAAAAAAAAATGCGTAAAGTGCATTTATAATCTTCCTCATTCAAGAACCGAGCCATGACAGTTTTATCGAGATTTTTTTTTTTTGTGTGTGCACAAAACCTAACCTTCTGCACTCCTCTACCATAGCCAAGAGCAAGTGACTGCACATTCCTGTACAACAAGTAATCAAAGATACGAATATTCTGTGCTGTTATAGATAACGGAAAAGTCTTCAGTTCCATGTGAAAATTGGCCGGGCGTGGTTATATTGTTAGCGTGCAGGACAATGAATTCGAGGGTCCGCGATTTGCGTCCAGTTGCTGCAAAATCACGCTCCAAAATTTAGGGGCGTGGGTACGTTATAAAAGTGATGGTCAAATCCCATCATTATATTAGCGAAGTCCAATATTTGCCAGAAGATGCTTTTGACTAGTTACCTTCTTTATAGCCAGATCTCAATATCATAATCTTGAGATATTCCAACTCTAAATACCAATATATTCTAACTTTCTTCTTTACAGCAGCAGTTAACTTCATTTCTAGATATTCGGTTTCAAAACACCATTATGATAGCAGTATAGACTTCGAAGTTTTTGTTTACATTTGTAATACCTTCCATACTTACAGATGTACACTATATGTAATGATACCCTTTAGATTTCCAACTGAAATTGTATTAACAATATGTTCTAATTAACTGCAACACGATTAATTATAACATTATATACATTCTTCAGAAATTTCCTTTTACGAAACCTACTTTTGTATTTTTGAATTTATTATTCTAAACGTTCAGTTTCATTAATATTTCCACGGGGAGCTTGAACTTTAATTTATAATTAGGATTTTCTTTGAGGTTCACGGCACGAATTCAGCAGTATCAATGATCTTCAGCCCTTCCCCTATAACTCTTCTTCCGGCTTCACTTTTCATTTAGCCTTTTGAACTTGTGGTTTTAGAAATATACCCCATGGTGTTTTACATTCTTGGGGTAACTTAACTTGAATAACCTACAAACAGCAGCATTAATTGATGATGCTAGTCATCTTTATTCTAAACAAATCTTAATGTTATGTCGCAGCGATTAACAAATATTCGTTTTCTATTAAAACGTTTCTGTATTTTCTTTTAACAATGTCTCTATGTGTACCATCACTGAGTTTACATGATTCAGTTTTAATTAATTTCCTCCCCTTTCAAATGGGCCTGGCATGGCCGCAATCTTCGGGTCGCGGGTTCGAATCCCCGTCCCACCAAACATTCTCGCCCTTTCAGCCGTGGGGGCGTTATAATGTGACGGTCAGTCTCACTATTTGTTAGCAAAATAGTAGCCCAAGAGTTGGCAGTGGGTGGTGATGAATAGCTGCCTTCCCTCTAGTCTTTCACTGCTAAGTTAGGGACGGCTAGCCCAGATAGCCCTCGTGTAGTTTTGCGCGAAATAAAACAAACAAACAAATAAACCCCTTTCAAATGGAAAAAGTTTTTTATCAGCTTCAAGTGACCACAGAACGTTTTTAAGAATTAATGTCGTGTTAATGCATAAAAAAAACATTTATAATTCGTGGAAGCGAAAGTTGGATTTTAATATAACATTACAATTGTAACTGGTAGTTAAATGTGTCAGCAAATATGACGGTACCTTCAGTTTAGCAAGAAATATGATTAACTAGATGGTGAAAAGTAAAAAAATAATTAGGTTAAATCATATTATCAATGACGAAAATGAAAACCTAATCAGCAAGCACTCGCATCGTTACTGAAGAGCATGATAACAACAAACATATTCTGATAGCAAAATAATAAAGCATAGATATAGTTTAACTTTTGGATTTTACAAATAATAGATAAAAAATGCCCGGGTTAATTAATATTTCGCGAATATCAGATGCGTTAACCGATATTACCAAATAATTAGAATAATGAAAAAATCAGGTCGTCCCTAATTTAGCAGTGAAAGACAAGATGGAAGGCAGCTAGTCATCACCACCCACAGCCAACTCTTAGACTACTCTTTTACCAACAAATAGTGGGATTGACAGTCACATGATAATGTCCCTACGACTGAAAGGGCGAGCATGTTTGGTGGGACGGGGATTCGAACCCGCGACCCTCAGATTGCGAGTCAAGCGCCCTAACCACTTGGCCATGCCGGGCACTCGACGAAAAAATCTGAAGAAAGAAAAAGACGCAGAACTAAATCAACAGAGTAGATGAATTAACAGAAGAAGAAGTGATGGTTAGGGGATGTAGATATTTTGTTAATGATCTACCCCCCCCCCCCCCAAAAAAAAAAGAAGAAGAAGAAAAAATAAATTTAAATAATGTAACATAGAACAAGAAGTCAGGATACAAATAGAAATAATAATTTAATCATAACATCAAACTTTCACTGACAAATACTTTTATACATGTAACAAATGTTTTGATTTTTGCCCTTTAATACTTTGTTTCCACATTTTATTTCTATTTACAATTAAAACATATATCTGAAATTCTACACTCAACTCCTCTGTATTTATTTGTTTCAGAATTTCGCGCATAGCTACACAAGGGCTATTGCGTAGAGCCGTTCCGTACGTAAATTAGTAGACTATGGGGGAAAACAGCCAGGCCACAATACCCAGCGCCAGCTCTTGGACTACTCTTGTTTAACCGAACTGTGAGATACGACAATCAATCTTGAAGCGCACCTATGGCGTCAAAGTTCGGAGAGCCTTTTATATATAATTGTTTTTTTTGTTGCAACAACGGACCGAAAACATTAAACTCTCGGGCCTTTTCTGACGTATGATCATTTATTTCTAATCTACAACGTAAGGAGGATCTAAAACATTGATCTTATTTTGAAGTCACTTCGGATAAAAACACTTAATGTTGAAAACCTCAGCGAAGCCAATACAAACAGATACAAAGAATATTACTATGTTGACACATAAACATGTCACTGTGGTCTGAAATGGATACCATTACGTCACTAATGACCATTTAAAATACTTTCACACTTCCCGCTCATTCCCGATTCATTCCCAAAAAAGATCTTCCGAAACCGCTCCGGTGATCAAGTTTCTTTTCAAATACAGTGAATTGATGTACAACATATTTTTTCTGATACCGTTAGTCTAATTATATATATATAGAGTTTCCGGAAAAATGTTTACAAAACTGTTTACAAATAAAATAAATCTATTCACCTTGTACATTGTCACACTGCAGGTTTTTATATTATTTGCTTGACTGACATTTATTTTCTATAAAAATCCATAAGTATTTCTATGTAGTTAATTGGTATGAAACTTTATTCTAAGCAATGTACTTAATTAATCTATATATATATATAATAAATAATAAAACTTACTAAAAGCTTTGAACATAAACGGTTGAGGTTAGTGAGGTAATCTTCTCTTTTTTCTTCATCGGTTGAAATCTCCACAAGCGACATCTATAAAGAGAAACTCGCGTTGTTGAAAGTCAGAAATAATAATTAAAAATAATCGTAGTATATGAGTCTGCTATAGATATAGTTTGTTTGTTTGTTTGTAATTAAGCACAAAGCTACACAATAGGCTATCTGTGCTCTGCCCACCACGGGTATCGAAACCCGTACAGATACAGATAAATATTTACTGATAAACGAGAAAAGAAGATACATTTTCACAACATACAGAAGATAAAATAAATATAAACTTTGTTTTTTTACTTCTACATTGCAGTTTCTAATTTTCTCTAGTCGGACAGAGTATTTTAGTATTATATTTTACAGATTTATCATGAATTTTTTAGCGGTGTCTTAGTATTAAATTTTTACAGATTTACACTCAACTGAGACAATATTCTAGTATCTCAAATTTATAAAGTTATTAATTAGACCGAGTGTTCTGACATTACGTTTTATAGATTTTTCCTAAATGTCTAGAAATTTCTTCTTCTCTGAAATATATTTTGCAGGAAGGCTTATTTACGTTCTTTAAAAGTATTTTCCAACAACAGTGATTATTACCTTACCTAAATACACACACACGTATATATACAGATACTTAAAATTTATATTATGTACGATTCTCATGTCAAACACGCTCTTTTACAAAATGTGTGTGGTATATTTAGATAATGATACATGTACCAGTATACATATCACGGATGACACAAAACTTCTTGAAAAGTAATAAATAACAGATTAAAGAAACCACCATGTCCATATCATACTTCAAACAACATGCACTTGATTATGTTACTTTCTGTTGTTGTTTTTTACATATTTTTACAGCACACAAACAGTTTACCGAAAGTATCTATGACATTTTTGTGTGTGTGTTTTTTTTTCAAAATTGTGGTGTGAACTGCAGGGATTTAGACATTTTGGTAATATAGTTAATAATAAAACGACCTTTACTCTCCGGATAATAATAATAATAATAATATTTTTTTATTTCAGCCAACGTTTCACCATTGCGGCTTCATCAGAGATATTAGTACAAGAACTTGAACTACCAACTCTGATGAAGCCACAATAATAAAACGAACTTTACTCTCCGGATAATAATAATAATAACTTTATTTCAGCCAAAGTTTCACCATTGTGGCTTCATCAGGGATATTAGTACAAGAACTTGAACTACCAACTCTGATGAAGCCACAATAATAAAA